CACACACACACACACACACACACACACACACACACACACACACACACACACACACACACGCACGCAACAGCTCTTTATGACAAGATTGTCATTATCACTACAAAATGCCATAAATGCTAAAGCGGAGACGGATAAAACTCGCGGACCTCGGATTTCAGTTCGGCCTCCAGATCGCTAGTAACTCCGAATTCTGCTATTTGCTTGGCGCCGTCGGAGGCGTAGCCGCCAATCTCCCACATAGTGTAATGACTGCTGTGGGTCGCCCCAATGATGTTAGACCAGTGAATGAGCCACTCATCTGTCAACAGAATTACAGCGCTTAGCGCATGACACGTAAGAGACACGTACACTGAACACTGAACACCAATATAAGAAGTACACGGAACACCAATATAAGAAGTACACGGAACACTAATATAAGAAGTACACGGAACACTAATATAAGAGGAACACGGAACACTAATATAAGTAGAAACGGAACACTAATATAAGAAGGACACGGAACACTATTAACGCACGCATTAAACACACATTAAACACAACACAAATTAAAAATGTATAAAAGGGAACATGGGGTTTGGACCAGCAATGTAGTGGTAACATCCAGAACATGTCATCGCACAAAGTCAGCGGAAACACCGTATTGGAAACACAATTTAACGTAATGCTGCATCAAAAAAGGCGCAATTTACACGTACTGTCGGGAAAGTCCTTCGGATGCGTGTTTCTTGACCAGATTCCCTCGAACGTAATTTCGTACTTGGCTTCGTCGCATGCACAGCATTCTTCGCTGGCTGCGTCGCCGTGCGCGGTGCCCGTAGTCTGCCTCCTACCGTTGGTCTCCGCATTCGGTTGTTCGCCGGGAGGAGGTGGCGTCCCCTCCTCGCACAGCATGGTGGTGAGGCCACCCTCGTCCTCGTAATACTCATTGTGGTTCACAGCAACGAGCGCTCTGAATTATTGACGGCCGTCATTACTTAGTGTGTGCCGCCACCGCCGAGTATATAGATACTCGCTCGTTACGTGATGACACAATACTAAAATGGGTATTTGCGGGGCTATTTCTCGAGCTACGGAAGATTAGCGTCTAATACCGCAGCCCCGGAGTCTGCAAACGGGTAATTTCCGATCTAATCGTGCGCCGAGGAGTTTTAGATTCGGGATTCCGGGCGACAGTGGCTAGTGTTTAGAGTTGAGTTTAGGGCTAGGCGTATGTTCCCTTTTTCGCGTTATGGTATTGTTGTCTCGGTCAAAAGAAAATAGTTTCACGCGCTCCGGTTCTCCAGGGCATGCTACAGAACTAACTAAATATCTATCCTTCTACAGCGCGATGTTGAAATATACCTGCCACACGCACCTGAACATGACGCAGCCGCCGCCCTCTAGTGGTGGATTCCATATTACGCGGACGTCGGTCTTAGCGTTGTTGTTTCTGTTAACTACTGCCTCTTGGCAGAGCTTCGAGTGTTTGCTGTTGCTGTCATCTAGCAGCTGGTGGGTAAAAATGCAAAGTACGAATCATAAACCGTTAGAACAGTAAGTAACTACATATGTGCTAATTTTCATAGTTTTGTCAAAAAATGCACAATTATATCCCTCGGCTCCTGTATACTAAAGTGTCTCTCGCTGTTACGGTAGTTCATTGTTCTCATCGCCCTCACATAATTATTGCTACAACGGATCTTCTATACACTTGCTGAAACTTAAATAAATGCCACTTTACCTCATACACACACATGATTATTAACACAGAATTAATTTGATTTCCACCTTTATGTCGTTTAGTCGGCTTAGCAGCCTTTGCGTATGTTAATAAAGCTCTCTATATGGATCGTTCTAACCAGCCCAATTTGAACCCATAAGTGCGCAGTTTGTCTGTAATTTTGCAGACGATATGAATACGTTATGAATATTTGTCCCTCAATCATCCGGGCAATTTTAGTCATTAGTCTCAGTAATTTTTGTTAAACTCATTTTTGAAATCATACATATATATACGATATATATATATATATATATATATATATATATATATATATATATACGCTTTCGCTCTTGAACGCAAAACCATTACTGCTATTCCTACTAGCTAATGACTGTCATTTGCATATGTAAGTTAGAGGCGATATTCCGCAATGCCGGGCACGAGGAAAGTACGGCGATATTGCCACGAGGCAGCGCATGCGCAGTCAGCCACAATCGCCACGGCCATACTGACAGCAATCCGCGAATGTCGCTAACGCCGAATTAGCGAAATTAGACTGAGCAGAACCAGCGAACGAACCCGTCACTCTGGATGTCTGACAGATCATACCTGAAATTGTCCGGCTGCCTTACTTGGTGCCATCTTGAAAGTAGCTGCGAGAGCAAACGCAGTAAATTGGTGCGCCCCTTGCGGCGTGCGTGGCCCAGTGAGAACGACTGCAAGACAAACAGAATATCTGTTACATAAACGATACGATATGATCGATATAATGGGAAGGTAATGTCCCACGCACATCAGCGTCTATTTCGTTAGTCTTATTCAAAAATGCATAACATACGAGGCCCGATAATCGTAACTCTAATATCGATAAAACATAAATGGGTCGCTATAAAGACTACAGACTATAAACGCGATAAGACGCGTCAGCGTGTAATGATGCTCGCAGGTTTTGCATGCGACTGTTACGTGTTTAATGCGGTCTAGCCACGCAGGCACCAGACCTGGCCTCCTATGATCAGCCTTTGAAAATGTTAGCCAAGCGGAAACAACAGACACAATATAATTGACAATTTCTAGTCGGGGGGTCGGATGATGCTATTAGGCTATTTAATCAGATCAGCCACGATGCTGAACGGCCACGAGTTGTCACTCGTACTATCGAATCATTACTTTACACGCGGTGCAGCCTATCCGAGTATGCACCGTCTTCACTATGAACACTGCATTCACGTTGTACCTGTGTTTGCGCGACGTGTTCCCGTATTCACGGTAACAGCCCGGACTCACCGCCTACGACGCATTCCTATATAATTTAGCCCGGAATCACGGTATACCAAATTTATACACGCTTTACCCCGTTGTGGACATTGTACATTTTTTCACACTCTTAGCCTGTATTTTCGCTGATCGCTCTAGTCCCGGCATGTCATGTAGTCTTGTATTCTCTGTACACACGTGTTCCCTGTACTCACGTGTTTCCGGTATTCAATGTAATCAGGTGTTCAAATTATTCCGTACTCTGTGGAATATCGGGAACTACCGTATTCTACATAATTATCTGTATTCTTCGTATTTATAATGTAGCTACACTCGTGGTGAGCCCTGTATAGTAACGGTGTGTACAGTGTAGCTGTTACTTTCCGCGTATGCTCAGCGTGCATACTAATGACACACGGCAAGGCTTGCTACGACGCGATCACATTACAATCACGATTCTTCCCGATAAAATGAAGCGGAGAAAATGGAGAATCCCTCAGGATCTCTTGCCATAAAATAATACAAATAAAGCTTTCAATGAAATGCGGCAATTGATGCTATCATGCGCATGTAGTCATGACGATATGAACGCACTAAATAGATGAAAATCATTGATCGAAATAACATTGTTTATGCAGTAATCATGCACCCCAAATAAAATACAGAATGAAATACAAAAAATGTAACGCAGCCACCCAATACGCAAGAAACGTTGTGAACGACGCAGCTACACAGTATATCCAATAACGATATGACGCGGCTATACAGTACACAAGAAAGACGTCACACAGATGGCATATGCTACCGAGGATGTCTGACATAAGAACTAAATAACTGTGGAAATAGATAATGTGATATATAGCGTGCATCGATCACAGTAGCTTACGACACAGACAGAAAGTTTGACGCAACAATTCACCGACGCGACTATAGTGTGCGACGAAACATTGTTGGTTAAGTTAATTGTATCGGTGTTAGTAATATTATCAGGAGTGTATAATATAGATATTACATATTACATGGATATACACTATATATAGATTATACTCTCCTGATATTATCAGTATTAGAAATATCGGTTATTACCAGCGTTATTACCTCCGCCAGGGGCTTGGCGGAGGTTATGTTTTCACCGGCGTGTGTTTGAGTGTTGGTTTGTGGGTTTGTGGGTTTGTGGGTTTGTGAACATGCACGTTTCAGTTCACTTCCGCTAGGTGCGCTGGCTGTAGACTTACAAACACGCAACCACAGGCTAAGGGGCAACCACAGTCCCCCCCACCTGCACGCTCGCACTAATCCGGATCCAATTAATTATTTAATTAATTAATTAATTGATTAATTTTTCCACTTAATTAATTAATTTATTAATAATAAAATTTCACATTGGGAGAATTCAGCTGCCTTGGCGGAGGTCTGTGCTCTCCGAGTGCTCTAGTTAGTGTTAGTATCGGTAGCTGAGACATTACGTGCAGATCGAATGCCCCGCATATATATCCCGGCATGGAAGAGACAGGTGGCTCTGGGGTGGATGATGGTGCTGGGGTAACGATAATGGTGCGTAGAAGTGGCATACAACAGTAGCCTTCTTTCTTAGCAATATTTCGTCGCTAGAAAAAGGCCTTCTTTGCATTTTTTAAATAATTTATATTTGCGGTTCTTTAGCATGAATAAGACTGTATGGTGTGTATGCGACGAAACCTCTAGAGTATTATTTAATTAATTTCTGTTCTATGCTCATTTCAAGCCTGATGACTATATGGACGCCCTCTACTGTTGTAAACGACCTAGACGAGTGCAGACTCGTTACGCCTCCGTCGCACACAGCTGCCACGATCGCAACTCCCAAGTGTCTTATAACAACAAACAGCGACACCGGGCACCCGCCGGGTCGGCCGCCTTTACGAGCGGCAACGCAGTCATGGAAACGCGCCAAGACGCGCCGAGCTGCCGGAGATCGCTGCTACTGCGATTCTGGAAAAGAAGATGCGGTTAAAAGATGCTTCGCGTGTGATCAGGGATCCGTAAAACACACGTCGAGATGCTCTCGGCGCGCGCATCGCGAGTTACCGTTAAAGCATAACGCACACACCCGAGCAAAAACACCTGAACGTGAGCAAAACGTGTTTCGCTCGATGTTCGTGCTGTGTGCGGATTCCGAAACAAAAAACATTGCTCAGCTGAGCGTGTTTCGCTGAACCAAGCCATGTTGATTCGGCGAGCGTGTTTTCCCTGAGCGTACGTTTTGCTCGGGTTGTGCGTCAATCGTTTCTGCTACACAGCGAAAACGCCACAGCAGTACTCATCAATATCCTTAAAAATATCACATGACACACAAATTGGCCATGTCCATTGGCTGGTATTTTGATGTCATGTGACAGCCGGCGCTGTAGCGCAGTGTTTTCTGGATGTTTTGTTCACGGTGCCTTGTGTTGCTGTGTCGGGTGGCGTGTGTGCGCTTGCTCGCCGAGCAGAACGCGAAACGCTGGAAAACAAAATTTCCCGTTTTGCTCGGGTGTGTGCGCTAGGCTTTACCGTTGACTCTCAGCGTGTGCTCGCTGACTTTTTCCCGATGACGAGCATAAAGAGGATGCGATTCTATAGAGCGTGTATTTATAGCAGCCGACGTCGACCATCGCTCCGTGCGTCCGCTTGTTTATCGGCTTCACATCGAAATGCGAATGAAAAAGGTTACAGCAAGAGAGTTGCTATAACCTCAAGGAGCGCACATACGATATGAAGCTCGTTCAATTCACGACGAGTGACGATGCCCCATAAACAGCAAATCCCATCATCCATAATAGCTATACACCCTAGCCGGTCGTACCCTAGCCATATCTTTAATATCGAGATAGATATTTCAGTATATAATAAAGACGGTGGGATTAGTAATATGCAATCGTATATTTACGTGGTTTTACAAATCGGCTACAACGTGGAATAAGTCTGTAAGCTTATATAAAAGCAGGAGCGTTCTAGAAAGAACTTTATTGAATAAACCAAAACTAATTTGGCCATGCATAGCGACATACGAATTTCGTTATAAATTCTACAGCGAAAAGTAAATGGGATAAAGCTTAAACATTTCACTATTTATTTATCTTGCGCTGTGAATCTTTCTGTAGCTTCAGAGGGGTCTTCCTTTCATTTCGCTGTTTATCTCGGTGGCGATTGCGCGCTACAGCCTTCCATGTATTGACCACCGTCAATGCGCCAGAATGCCTGCCGGATATTGTTTAGAATGTTAGAAAAGCTCTGTGACGAGTTGGCAATATGAAACTACTAATGTGATCTCACGAGAAATTACGATTTCTAAATGTCAGTTAATGCGCGCCAAAATTAAAACTATATTCGTCAGACATACTGGAACAACGTTGGCGGGTCGTTAAAGACATATTGGTAATAGTTGTCTAGCAAATTTGTCAATTAACTCAAAGTAAAATTTCGACGAGGAAAGTAAAAACATCCGAAATAAATTTGATAATCCGATTGAATAAGGCGAATGCACAGCTATTAGGCTAACTTTAATTAAGGAGTGAAAATAATAATAATAATTATCATAGATATGAATTTATTTATATGCATAGGTACGTGCGTGTACAAATATATGCGCGCACGCACGTATAAGAATACGCATACACAAACAAACACACACGCGTGCCAGCATGCGAACGCAGCGCGCGTATACCGACCGACGCACAAGCTCCATACACGTCATACACGTCAATAGTTCACCATATAGACGCATAATATACTTGACTCATTATTGATGTGTTTGCGTGATATATATATATATATATACATGCACATATTTTCCGCAGGGATCAGTGGAGCCGTCATGCTGAGACACGCTCATACGATGAATGATATTTGCTAGCATGTGACAAGCTCAGCTGAGGCGGTTGACAGGAATTTCCAAAACCCTCGTGGCGACATAGCGGATCACGCAGCGTGTCAGGTACAGCGAGACAGGCGCACACACGACGACAACCTACACGGGGACTGCGTGACCGGTGACACGGCGTACGGAACAACATGATCATGCAGTGACACCACGAGCGCGACAGCGTTCATGGTGACAATATATACACGGTCACTACCTTCATGTGCCGTATAGCTAAGTAGTAAAAGTAGCGCTTATACGCGTCTGCAAGCATTAGTTTTACCACACACCGTGGACACACACACACACGAGCATATGTTAATATGCATACATAAATTAACAGTTGATTCAAATTTTAGATTGAAAATTGATGATTAAAAATCGTACGTTCGAGATACCACGCGCGCGTGTATGCGTACATTCGTACAGGTGGTGAACCTGGGTACGAACGCATATGCATGTCCGTCACTCCCGTGCGCGTGCTTGCGCGTGTGTGCGCGTGTGGGCGCGTGTGTGCGTAGGTCCACGGTGTGTGGTAAATGCATGCAAACGCGTATAGTCGTGTCTTGTGATTGATAG